AGTGGATCGAGACTCGAAGTACAGCTATTCCGTGATTCGAATGACTTGCAGCACGGAGATAAAAACCTGTCGTGATGAGCAAACGCGCGAAAGACGAGCTATGGAAACAGGAAGGTTGGGCACACACGAAACCGTGGACAGCAGGAAAAAATGCTTGATGTGTGTTGTTCGGTTCTGTCGGCAATGCTGGTGCTGCCAGCAGCTGTTTTGTAGTCTCCTCTCCTCTCCTCAACTTCAGCTTGAACCACTCAACTCAACTCAAGCTAGGCTTCCGTCCATGCGACTAAGATCGCAAACTTTCCTTCCACGGGTCGCGGTTTGGGCATTTTTTTTTTTTTTTTTTTTCTTAAATGAAAGAAAAACGGAAAACGCAGCCTCAAGAACAGCACATAAGGAACCCCAAAAGACACCCCAACGAGATACCCCCAACGAGACACCCCAACGAGACACCCCAACGAGACACCCCAACAATACGCCCCATCTAACCAAACCCCCCACCCCCCTCACCTAAACCCACCCTCTAAACCCGCATGTCCACCAAATAGGGCGCATCCGCCCACGGAGCATCCCATCCCATCTCCTCCTCAAAATCCTCCCGCTCCACCGAAACAGCCTCTGGGCCTCTCATCATCGACGCCGCGCGCAACAAGATCACACGCGCCTGAGCCCGCTGCAAAGCCACACCTATGGCCGCTTTAAGTGATCCAAGCAAGTAAGCCGAGAAACCTTTCCCCGTAGCTCTCGCCGCCCCTTTCGTCTTCGCTACCTCAATCTGCGCGTCGCCCTGTTTCTTAAGCCACCGCCCAAAACTCCCCCCCAGGCAACCCCATGTCTCAGCAATGAGAGGTGTAAACTGCACTCCCCTATGTCGCTGCAGAAGCAATTTGTAGTCCGCCGCCTTCCGCTTTTCCCTCTCTCTAGCGGCAAAACCCACCTTGCGACCAATCTGTCCATGGTGCTGCGCGGACAACGAGATAGGGTCCACCACACTAACCTCCAGCGCATGCTCCTCCCCCTCCCTCAGTCTCCGCATCGCCACATCCACCCTCTTCCCTGGCAGCAACGTGTCGTCTTCCATGGTCACGACCCCACCCGCCCCTTTAGCTATCTTTGCCACCACAAACTTAACCGCGTCGTGAACACGAGAAGGTGCGTACTGGTACTTGCAGCGAAGGGCATGATGCGGGTCAGAGGGATCAGCAAACTCAAACCCACACGCGCACTTGCCGGCGACTATCAGCTGCTGTATGGGGAGGCCTAGGCGCATGGACGCACAGATGCTCCACTCGGCTGCGGTGAAGGTAGCCTCTTCGTGCGAAGGGACGGCGGAGACCCACGCCCCTGCCCCCGGGCCCTGAAGGGATGTCAAACGGGCCATGGTGGCGTCGTCGTGGGCCATACCCCGAAGAGTCTGCAGACTCTCAACCGCTAGGCGACGGTGTTGTGTGGGGAAAAGCAGCACAGGGGGGTCAGCGGTGCATAAGGCTAGGGGTGGCATCTCCTGCCTGACCGACTGTGGCAGCAGCTCCACTGCTCTCGCAAACCAAGGATCCAGCAAGGTCGTAGCCTCGGGCGTGCGGAAAAACTCCTCAAACATCCGTTCCTCCCCTGCCACCCCCATCCGAGCCACATCGCTCACTGCCTGGCACCAACCACATGCGTACGACAGAGGGCTAAGGTCAGCTGCAGATCGAATGCCAAACCCTCCAAGTCTGGCTGGAAGGTGCAGCTGTAGACGGGCCATCTGCGACCTTGCCGAATCATGATCCCAGGTGCTATCTGGAAACAGCTGCTCAAAACAATCCTCAAGCTTCGTGTCCCAGTCGCGGAAAGCCTCCACAACCTCAGGCCGTGGAGGCATCGTCCTTGTGAGGTAAATCGGGCGCGCTGACACTGCGATCGCCAGCAGATGGGACGCAATCTGTGGGTGGTCGAGCAAAGGAAGCCAAGGGACAGGTGCATGCAGCAGCATCAGCCGGCCTCGCAAGCTGGCCACCTCCCACTCCTCCTCCCCAATAGGAACCCCCACTACGGTGAGCCCCGTCCATGTTTGCTGCATGCCGGGCGGGACGGTCTCGTTCCTCTCCTCTCCCTCCTGGTCCACCCCTCGCTCCCAAAGCTTGCACTTATGCGGCTGCACCTCCAGACCAAGCCCGCCCAGTCGTTCCCGCAAGACCTCATAAGCTGCTAGCACCCGCTCCCTAGGCCCCAAGATGTACGTATCATCGGCGTAGCTGAGAAAGAGTAGGTCGGCGAATTCTTGTTTGGTGGGCTCCATAACCAGCTGCTGTGTGAACGCGAACAGAAACGGCCCCAATGGGTCCTGTTGCCTCGACCCTCGCTCTGAAGCCAAAGCTTCGACGAAGGGGCCCGCACGGAGGTAGAGGTCGCTAGGAGTGCCGTAGAAGACACGCAGGAATGGGATCAAACCCGCAAAAGGCGACTGTCGAAGTCCTTCAAACATTTCCCGCCGATGGAAGGAGTTGAAAGCATTCGCCACATCAATTTGAAGCGCGCACCATGACGGGTGAGTAGAGATGGTAGAACGAAAGGCATGTGCGAGGACTTCCACTCCCGACCTGGATCCGACTCCTAGCTGGTTACACGGCGCAAAGTGCGACATCATCTTCGGCCGAAGCACGATGCATAGGGCCCGAGATAGTATGCGGGGGAGCACCTCGCCTATAGCCACCGGGCGAACGTCACCATTCGGCTTCGACAGGCCCACAAGGTTGGACGCAGTGAGCCAGGGTCGCACGCGCTCCGCTACCTCTCCCTTGGTCCACTGGGTGAAGACTCCTAGCAGGTGAGGCAGGTATGCGGGCTCAGAGGGAAAAGTGTCGCGCAGGTGCTCCGTCACCCACCCCGACGGTCCTGGTGCCGACGCCCTAGCCGCAGAGTGGATCGCCTGACCAAGTACCTCCACTGAGAGCTGCGGGATAAGGGAAGGCTCAACTATCTCCTCCTGCAACCACTCCGGAATGGCGGTCTCGCTCGATGGGTGTTTCGCTCGCAGCGCGTCCACCATGTGCTGAGAGGGCTGAGCGATGCTACCGGCAGTAAGACACGCCAAACCCCGACTCCATTCTCCCACTTTGCACCTTGTGCGGCAGCGAGCCAGGCGCACCGCATCAGGATCATGCTCGGGGGGGGTGAAGGACAAAGGACGCGCAGCAGGTTGCATTACCGCCACCGCCAACTCAAACAGCTCCCGCCACTCCCCGACCCAAAACTTCTCCAACCGCTCCCTGATTGCCGCCCTATGCCCCTGGCCTTGCCCAGTTGGCATCCCCAAGATAAGACGAGGGAAGGCCAAAAAGACCAAGGACGCCGCCTCGTCTGCTGCCTTTAACTGTAGCCGCTTCAGGACACAAGACAGTGCATCAAGCACCCCCCAATCTAGCGCGCTGTGGGATACGACACATGATTCTCCCTGGCACCAATTCGATCCCAAAAAACGACTCCCAGTCCCATGTAGGAACTGCGGCCCATACCTCTTCACTGATATCACGTGGTGGCGGGGGTTCGCCGTCCGAGTCATCTGTGACGTCGCGGGTCAACCCAAGCGCCTGAGCACGACGCTGGGCGTCCGCTGCCCTGCAGGCCGACATATGGCGTGTGGCCTTTCCTCTCTCCGTGAACGTGCGATAACAGGTTTCGCACGGAATGCGGGGCGGGGGTGTCAATGTAGGGTCTGGGTGCTCCTCTCCACTCGAACACGCCGGCAAGACCCTCCTGCTAGACTCCGTCTCCATGCCCCCCTCTAACGGCCTTGCAAGCTCCATCCCTCCGCACTGCAGCTGCTGCTGCCCTCCGCTCTGCAACTGCTGCTGCCCTTCGCTCTGCAATTGCCGTTGCCCTCCGCTCTGCAGCTCCTGCTGCCCTCCGCTCTGCAGCTGCTGCTGCCCTCCGCTCTGCAGCTGCTGCTGCCCTCCGCTCTGCAGCTGCTGCTGCCCTCCGCTCTGCAGCTGCTGCTGCCCTCCGCTTTGCAGCTGCTGCTGCCCTCCGCTCTGCAGCTCCCGCTGCCCTCCGCTCGGCAGCTGCTGCTGCCCTCCGCTCTGCAGCTGCTGCTGCCCTCCGCTCTGCAGCTGCTGCTGCCCTCCGCTCTGCAGCTCCTGCTGCCCTCCGCTCTGCAGCTGCTGCTGCCCTCCGCTCTGCAGCTGCTGCTGCCCTCCGCTCTGCAGCTGCTGCTGCCCTCCGCTCGGCAGCTGCTGCTGCCCTCCGCTCTGCAGCTGCTGCTGCCCTCCGCTCTGCAGCTGCTGCTGCCCTCCGCTCTGCAGCTCCTGCTGCCCTTCGCTCTGCAGCTCCTGCTGCCCTCCGCTCTGCAGCTGCCGCTGCCCTCCACTCGGCAGCTGCCGCTGCCCTCCGCTCGGCAGCTCCTGCTGCCCTCCGCTCTGCAGCTGCTGCTGCCCTCCGCTCGGCAGCTGCTGTTGCCCTCCGCTCTGCAGCTCCTGCTGCCCTCCGCTCTGCAGCTCCTGCTGCCCTCCGCTCTGCAGCTCCTGCTGCCCTCCGCTCTGCAGCTCCTGCTGCCCTCCGCTCTGCAGCTCCTGCTGCCCTCCGCTCTGCAGCTGCTGCTGCCCTCCGCTCGGCAGCTGCTGCTGCCCTCCGCTCGGCAGCTGCTGCTGCCCTCCGCTCGGCAGCTGCTGCTGCCCTCCGCTCTGCAGCTGCTGCTGCCCTCCGATCGGCAGCTGCTGCTGCCCTCCGCTCTGCAGCTGCTGCTGCCCTCCGCTCGGCAGCTGCTGCTGCCCTCCGCTCGGCAGCTGCTGCTGCCCTCCGCTCGGCAGCTGCTGCTGCCCTCCGCTCTGCAGCTGCTGCTGCCCTCCGCTCGGCAGCTGCTGCTGCCCTCCGCTCTGCAGCTGCTGCTGCCCTCCGCTCGGCAGCTGCTGCTGCCCTCCGCTCTGCAGCTGCTGCTGCCCTCCGCTCGGCAGCTGCTGCTGCCCTCCGCTCTGCAGCTGCTGCTGCCCTCCGCTCGGCAGCTGCTGCTGCCCTCCGCTCTGCAGCTACTGCAGTTTGGTTGCCCGTCGCCTCCGGCCCCGGCCCCGCGCTCGGGGCCTTTCCGCTTGGTCCGGGGAATCAGGGTTGGCATTCTCCCCCTCCATTGGGCTTGATTCCAGCTCATCGGTGCAAGCCTCGTTCGCCATCTCCGCATCCAACACCCAAACCGGCTCTTGCTGCCCTCCGCTCCGCAGCTGCTGCTGCCCTCCGCTCTGCAGCTCCCGCTGCCCTCCGCTCGGCAGCTGCTGCTGCCCTCCGCTCTGCAGCTGCTGCTGCCCTCCGCTCTGCAGCTGCTGCTGCCCTCCGCTCTGCAGCTCCTGCTGCCCTCCGCTCTGCAGCTCCTGCTGCCCTCCGCTCTGCAGCTGCCGCTGCCCTCCACTCGGCAGCTGCCGCTGCCCTCCGCTCGGCAGCTCCTGCTGCCCTCCGCTCTGCAGCTGCTGCTGCCCTCCGCTCGGCAGCTGCTGTTGCCCTCCGCTCTGCAGCTCCTGCTGCCCTCCGCTCTGCAGCTCCTGCTGCCCTCCGCTCTGCAGCTCCTGCTGCCCTCCGCTCTGCAGCTCCTGCTGCCCTCCGCTCTGCAGCTCCTGCTGCCCTCCGCTCTGCAGCTGCTGCTGCCCTCCGCTCGGCAGCTGCTGCTGCCCTCCGCTCGGCAGCTGCTGCTGCCCTCCGCTCTGCAGCTGCTGCTGCCCTCCGCTCGGCAGCTGCTGCTGCCCTCCGCTCTGCAGCTGCTGCTGCCCTCCGCTCGGCAGCTGCTGCTGCCCTCCGCTCTGCAGCTGCTGCTGCCCTCCGCTCGGCAGCTGCTGCTGCCCTCCGCTCTGCAGCTGCTGCTGCCCTCCGCTCGGCAGCTGCTGCTGCCCTCCGCTCTGCAGCTGCTGCAGTTTGGTTGCCCGTCGCCTCCGGCCCCGGCCCCACGCTCGGGGCCTTTCCGCTTGGTCCGGGGAATCAGGGTTGGCATTCTCCCCCTCCATGGGGCTTGATTCCAGCTCATCGGTGCAAGCCTCGTCCGCCATCTCCACATCCAACACCCAAACCGGCTCTTGCTGCCCTCCGCTCTGCAGCTGCTGCTGCCCTCCGCTCTGCAGCTCCCGCTGCCCTCCGCTCGGCAGCTGCTGCTGCCCTCCGCTCTGCAGCTGCTGCTGCCCTCCGCTCTGCAGCTGCTGCTGCCCTCCGCTCTGCAGCTCCTGCTGCCCTTCGCTCTGCAGCTCCTGCTGCCCTCCGCTCTGCAGCTGCCGCTGCCCTCCACTCGGCAGCTGCCGCTGCCCTCCGCTCGGCAGCTCCTGCTGCCCTCCGCTCTGCAGCTGCTGCTGCCCTCCGCTCGGCAGCTGCTGTTGCCCTCCGCTCTGCAGCTCCTGCTGCCCTCCGCTCTGCAGCTCCTGCTGCCCTCCGCTCTGCAGCTCCTGCTGCCCTCCGCTCTGCAGCTCCTGCTGCCCTCCGCTCTGCAGCTCCTGCTGCCCTCCGCTCTGCAGCTGCTGCTGCCCTCCGCTCGGCAGCTGCTGCTGCCCTCCGCTCGGCAGCTGCTGCTGCCCTCCGGTCTGCAGCTGCTGCTGCCCTCTGCTCGGCAGCTGCTGCTGCCCTCCGTTCTGCAGCTGCTGCTGCCCTCCGCTCGGCAGCTGCTGCTGCCCTCCGCTCTGCAGCTGCTGCTGCCCTCCGCTCGGCAGCTGCTGCTGCCCTCCGCTCTGCAGCTGCTGCTGCCCTCCGCTCGGCAGCTGCTGCTGCCCTCCGCTCTGCAGCTGCTGCTGCCCTCCGCTCGGCAGCTGCTGCTGCCCTCCGCTCTGCAGCTGCTGCTGCCCTCCGCTCGGCAGCTGCTGCTGCCCTCCGCTCTGCAGCTGCTGCTGCCCTCCGCTCGGCAGCTGCTGCTGCCCTCCGCTCTGCAGCTGCTGCAGTTTGGTTGCCCGTCGCCTCCGGCCCCGGCCCCGCGCTCGGGGCCTTTCCGCTTGGTCCGGGGAATCAGGGTTGGCATTCTCCCCCTCCATGGGGCTTGATTCCAGCTCATCGGTGCAAGCCTCGTCCGCCATCTCCACATCCAACACCCAAACCGGCTCTTGCTGCCCTCCGCTCTGCAGCTCCTGCTGCCCTCCGCTCTGCAGCTGCTGCTGCCCTCCGCTCTGCAGCTGCTGCTGCCCTCCGCTCTGCAGCTGCTGCTGCCCTCCGCTCTGCAGCTCCTGCTGCCCTCCGCTCTGCAGCTCCTGCTGCCCTCCGCTCTGCAGCTGCTGCTGCCCTCCGCTCTGCAGCTGCTGCTGCCCTCCGCTCTGCAGCTCCTGCTGCCCTCCGCTCAGCAGCTCCTGCTGCCCTCCGCTCTGCAGCTGCTGCTGCCCTCCACTTTGCAGCTCCTGCTGCCCTTTGCTCTGCAGCTCCTGCTGCCCTCCGCTCTGCAGCTGCTGCTGCCCTCCGCTCTGCAGCTGCTGCTGCCCTCCGCTCTGCAGCTCCTGCTGCCCTCCGCTCTGCAGCTCCTGCTGCCCTCCGCTCTGCAGCTGCTGCTGCCCTCCGCTCTGCAGCTGCTGCTGCCCTCCGCTCTGCAGCTGCTGCTGCCCTCCGCTCTGCAGCTCCTGCTGCCCTCCGCTCTGCAGCTGCTGCTGCCCCCCGCTCTGCAGCTCCTGCTGCCCTCCGCTCTGCAGCTCCTGCTGCCCCGTCCCCACCGGCGGCTGCCGGCTCCTCTCCCGGGCCCCCTGCTGCCCGCCCACCTGCGGGTCACGCTGACCCCCCACTAGTGGCTCCTGCTGCCTGTCTTTCCGCGCCGCACTCCGGCGCCTCCGCTCCTGGGCATTTTCGTGGGTTTGTCGTTTGGTTGGGGCAGGCGGTTTGGCCATCCGCGTGCATCCTGCGTGAAATCCGGGACTGCTCTGATAGTGTAGACATTGCTCTGAAAGCGCGAAAGAACAAATCACCATGAATACAAAACTAGTACCGTTAGATTAAATTATAGCATATCGTAACACTTCCACAATGTAATGAATTACAATTCATTACTGTAGCCTGACCTTAGCGGGGATATCCCGAAGCCCTCGCGTCAGTTGGGTTCAGCCTACAACCTCGTACCCGCACCTTTTCCGAGTCGTCCCCGCACCAATTGTCACCATTCCAACCCTCGCTTGCCCGAGGTCCTCGCCTAGCTAGAAATTCCCTGTAATTGCTAATACGGATAGTAAAATATGAAGTGTTACTGTGCACTCCTGCCAGTAGCAATCGAAGCATGCAGTACCGAGGCTGAAGACGAAAAGGCGGAATGACGCGAAGGGTCGTACGGTTACGAAGCACCTGGGCCGTCATGGCATACAGCATCAGGCAGCAGCAGTGGCGAGGATTTTGCCCGAGCAGTTCGTAACCATATGGAGTCGCACGGTTGGGTTTCGCTGCAATAAGGGAATGTACCTCTTAGAGTGCATGGCTAGCTAGGTCGCTTCGTATTCCACCTTGTACAATATTTATTTATATGTTTGTATTTGCAAGTTTTAATTAATCTCAATCATTTTACATTCACTCTCATTTGAGGTCAAGGGCCCATCACCACTACCTAATTGTGTGCGAACCTTCCTGAGGTGATCCTGGTTACGATCAACTTCTGATCGCAGCATGGTCTGAGAGCGACTCAGGAATCCTTCGCACTGCCACCTCCGAAATCTTCGGCGATCGAAATGTGGCATCCGGCACACCATTGCGTGTAAGGATGGCCGGAGGATCTGGAGGTCAGACGAATCTGACCGCTGAATTGCAGCCCAACCCGGCTGCGACAAACGAGGAAACGACGATGATTGGAACCGCCGTCCTCGCACGACTGCTTCAGCGACTCACCAGCTTGGAGCAAGAACTCCAAACATTGCGGAATGGCGACGCGGGAACATCCTCCCAACCCTCTCAACCGGCCTCAAATGGCCACGACACCGCCCCACACACGTTCTCCCTCGAAACAAATGGCTCAGCTCCCAAGACTCCCCGCCCCAGTGAAGAACCAATTCTCTCTGCTCAATCAAGGTTCCTGAGCATATCAAAAATAAAGACAAGTGTGTGTTTTGACGACAGAGACTTTTATATGTGGAGCTTCGAGCTAGAGCTGCTGCTGCAAAATGCACAGATATTCCACTATTTCGACGGGAGTTACACGGGACCTTCTGAAGACACCGCTGACGATAGGGCTCAATATTACAACGAATCCCTGATGACGTATGGCGTCCTACTGCGGAACATGTCGCCGGCGGAACAACATGAGCTTACGATCGTAAATGACAACATCCGCTCCTGCCCTCGACGCATGGCGACACCTGAACGGAGTCTACCAACCGAAGGATTCGGTTTCATCAAGCCGCCTGCTCCAGCAGCTATTGGAGACAAAACTAGGCCCAGGGGAGAAGGCCAACAGCTACATTAATCACTGTCGGAGCCTACGCGATCAATCGCGAAATTGGGAGGCAGCATTTCCGAAGAAATCATCGTGAACATCGTGCTTCAAGGGCTCGGCCCAGAATGGCGGCCCTGCAAGGCGCTGCTCCGACAGCAGGGGGTTATCTCGGAAGCCGCCCAATGTGTCAGAATGTTATAGTGCTTACAGTTCTGTAGGCTGTCAGAATAGTGAACGAATGAATGACTGAACTAGCAAGTAGGTGGGTACAAGTAGAAAACATAAAAGTGTTGTACCCTATATCAACTACCCCACTACAGCCTAAACAGACTATAGCATATAAGTTTGACACACCCCCATAGGCAAAGTGGGGGAGAACAAGAGGTCGCAAGACCGGTCAAGAAAGGCAAAGCAAGCTCAGGGTGGATCACAAAGTCACCACTCATTTTGAGCACAAGAAAATGGCCACAAGGCCAGTTCACATGCAGAGTTATATAAAGGAGAACAAGCAATACAGTGATCACAACCTAGCAAGTGTAAGCGTGCAGGTATATGTATAGAGATCACAGTACAAGCAGAGTCAAGAAGTAAGCAAGCGAGAAACAGTAGGTACAAGGACTAGAACAGTGCAGAAACGCTGATGATCACAAGGCTGAAGTGCCTTGGTGAAGATATCAGCAGTGTTGGCCCGAGAGGCCACGTAAGCAAGACGAAGCTGACCACGCTGCTGCAACTCTCGAGCAAGGAAGTAGCGCAGAGCAATGTGCTTCGTTCTGTGCTCCAGTCTGTGCTCCTGACACAAGGAAAGCATTGCCTTGTTGTCGACGTACAGAACTGGAGGAGAACGAGGCGCCTCTCCCAAGTCGGTCAGCAGGTAGGTGAGCCAGCGTAAATCCTGTGCAGCCATGGCCCCAGCGTAGATCTCAGCCTCACAACTGGAGCTGAGAACAGAAGACGAGCGGGTAGACCGCCAAGAGACAGAACCGGAGCCAAGGCTGAAGGTGTAACCCTGTGACGACCGCTGCGTAGCCAGGTCGTCAACCCAGGAAGCGTATGCGTGACCAGTGAGGACAACTCGAGTCCGTCCTCCAAGCACGAGCCCCATGCCCGACGTACTGCACAAGTAGCGCAACACCCTCTTCGCACCATCCTAGTGCACCCACCTTTTGGTGCCTGCCGGGAGCCACGTAGCGAGCCAGAAGGCTGAGAGGGTATGCGAGGTCAGGTCGTGTGCAAGTCATCAGGTACATGAGGCAGCCCACAAGCTCTGGATACGGGCCACTCGGCTCTACAGACTCGTCCGAAGGTGGAGCTGAGAGCGATTGACCAGTAGGCAGAGGAGTGGACTGTGGCGAGGAGTACGTGAAGCCGAAGCGCTGAAGGACCTGGTGCACCATGTGTGACTGAGTCAAGGTAATGGTACGCTGTGCTCTGTCCCGGGTTATCCGCAAGCCAAGATAGCTTGTCAGTTCACCCAGGTCTGTGCACGTGTGTCTCTTCTGCAGCTCTGACTTCACGTGGGCGAGTGCCTCAGTGTCAGCAGTAGCAAAGACCAAGTCGTCTACGTACACGAGAACGTAGAACGGCGGAAGAGTGGTGTCAGTGCGTAAAAACAGAGAAGGGTCAGAAGTGGAAGGAGCAAAACCAAGAGCAGCAAGAGTCATCCTGAGTGTGTCGTGCCACTCACGGGGTGCCTGGCGGAGACCGTAGACTGGCCGCCGGAGGCTCCACTGGGTACCAGCTGGAAACGACCCAGTGAAGCCAGGTGGGCGGCGCAGCCAGATCTCCTCGTGTAGGCTGCCCTGTAGGAAGGCTATGCTGAAGTCAAGCGAGTGTAGCTCGTAGTCACGCTGAGCGGTGACGTGCAGCAGCACCCGAAGAGTGGTCATCTTCGGGGTAGGGGAGAAGGTCTGGAAG